ACGTGATTGCTGAACCTGTTGTCTGGCTTGCCAATGAGGGAAGGCCAACCTCAGCTCAATGTGGCCGAGTTTGGTGGTCGTGTCTTGGCCCATCTTGCCGTGTCTAGCATGACCGCTGCTTGGCGAGGAAGTGAGTTTGTGTCGACATTGTCAAGTTTTGTGTATTTTCCCGGCCTTGTGAGCAATGTTTGTGCTGCCGTCCTGAAATTGCTCCGCTTGGAATTTGCTTCCGTAGATCGGGCGGTGACCAGGCAGGGGGTCGTCAATCAGCTTCCACGTCAGCGATGCATGCGGATTCGCTGTCTTTGGATGCTTGTTGCTGTATTCGGATATATTTGGAGGGACTCAAGTGTTGACCAACTATATATGGTTGACTCTGTGTGACTTGGCACTGCGCACAAGACTTTACATAGCAGTTGACGACTTTGCTTATCCGTCTGCACATGAACTGCAACATGACTGCGTTGCCAGAGGTGCAGCCACTGGCAGTGACCATCCTGGGGACCCCTTGGAGCCAACGCACACGGGGCCATTCCGGGTGCACAGGACGGCGAGCCAACGTGCTGCTGGGGGTCTTGCCAATCTCATCCCATCACTTGAGCCTTGTGCGTCGAAGCTGGGATAGTACTGATGCCTGAACCGCTGCGAGTGGTTCCAGTGGCGGTTGACCTACCAGCTGTCAGGTTTGGCGTCGATCTTTTTTGTGGCCGTCTTGCATTGGAGCGCTGGTTGAAGGTTCCTTTCCAAATTCACATTGGCAGGCATGCTGGCATGCCTTTGTCTGGACGGGTGAAAAAAAGGGAAAAACAAAATGGGAGCCAAAAGGGAACTAAGCACCTGGAGGGAGTGACCCCTCGAATTTTGAGAACTACAATCAATACTCAGGGACCCTCAAAGACTGGGGGTCTTCTGCACTCGGGTGCTTGTCTTGGGAGCCTCAATTGCAGTCGTTCCCCCCACGGTTGGTGAAAGGCGACACCTGGCCTTGCGGTGCCTGGCATAGATGTTGCCAGCCGACCGAAGAACACGTCACACCCTCCTGCAATCTGATGTCAGAAACATCCAATGCAACCCGGAGCCCGCAAGGCTAGTTTTCGGTGTGTCTGTTTTGTAGGGTACCTTTTTGGCTGGCTTTAAAGGTAAGTTAAAGGGAAATCCGCAATTTTGGGGGTCCCGTAAAATTCCACAAAAAAAGACACCCGTTTGGTTTCCCTTCAAACGACCAAGAAAGGCCTTCCAAACCAGGATTCACAAGAATGAATGCCTCTGACTCGGGAGGCTGACGTGAGCTTGCATGAGTTGTTGTCATTGACAGTGCTTGCGACAGGGTGATGGGCTGATGTCCTGCCTTTTGGAGTTTCATGCGGACGGACGGATTCAATTCCAGTGTTTTCGATGCGGAGAGTCGAAGACATGGAAGAGAGTGTCCGGAATTCTGGTGCATGTAATGTGTGGGCGTGTCCCTGGAGTCTGGCGTCAATCGCCCAGACCCCAGAATGGTGTGTGTGTGTGTGAGAGTGTGTATAGAAATATATTTGCATACCGCAAGTAAATATATGCTCATACTTAAATGGCCACTGCAAAAGAAAGTCCTCCTCAAAATGTGTCCGCGGAAGCTTGGAGGTGGGTTCTGGCTTTCATGATGTTGTTGCGGATGTCAAACAACTAGACCACGGTTGGCCCGAAAGCAGAACATCGCAAGCGAGGTCGGCCCAACGCTGCAGGATGCGTTCTATTTCCCTACACTTCGTGAAGCAAGCGCGAGACAGCACCAGGCAAGGTGCTCTGCGCAAACTGGTCGGTGCAAGTTGGTCTGCGCAAGTTGCTCTACGCAAGTTGCACTGTGCAAGTTGCTCTGCGCAAGTTGCTCCGCGCAAGTTGCTCCGGCAAGTTGGTCCCTGCAAGTGGCTCCCTGCAATTTGCTCTGTGCAAATTGCGCTCCCTGCAAGTTGCTCTGTGCAAGCTGCTCTGTGCAAGTTGCTCTGTGCAAGTTGCTCTGCGTAAGTTGCTCTGCGCAAGTTGCTCTAGGCAAGGCGCTCTGCGCAAACTGGTCGGTGCAAGTTGGTCTGCGCAAGTGGCTCTGTGCAACTTGCTCTGCGCAAGTTGCTCTGCGCAAGTTGCTTTAAAATGCAAGTTGCATCTTGCGACGCCCGCCCGCGGACCAGGGGGGGAGGCGGGAAAAGAAGGGGAAAGCGGAGGATACAAAATCGAACCCGCCCGACCCGCCGGTTCGGGACATGGAGGGGGGGGACAGGGGAACAGGCGAGCCGGCGCACCCCGCACCCGAGACCACGCCACGACTACAGATATGCCCTACGAGAACATAGACAACTCACCACCCGAGGACCAGTTCGAACAACAAAAGTCGCAAAAACCTCGAGTTTTGCACCTCGACCACGCCGATTCCCGCAGAGGATTGCGCGAGCACCGCAGAAATCGCAAAAAACCATGGGTTTTTGCACCTCGACCACGCCGATCCCCGCAGAGGGTCGCGCGAGCAGGTTAAACATCGCAAAAAACCTCGAGTTTTTGCACCTCGACCACGCCGATCCCCGCAGAGGGTCGCGCGGGAACTTTAGAAATCGCAAAAAACCATGACGCCGATCCCCGCAGAGGGTCGCGCGAGCACCGCAGAAATCGCAAAAAACCATGGGTTTTTGCACCTCGACCACGCCGATCCCCGCAGAGGGTCGCGCGAGCACCGCAGAAATCGCAAAAAACCATGGGTTTTTGCACCTCGACCACGCCGATCCCCGCAGATGGTCGCGCGAGCAGCGCAGAAATCGCAAAAAAAAACATGGGTTTTTGCACCTCGACCACGCCGATCCCCGCAGAGGGTCGCGCGTGAACTGTAGCAATCGCAAAAAAACCATGGGTTTTTGCACCTCGACCACGCCGATCCCCGCAGAGGGTCGATTTTCGTGTAGTGTCGTCGGCACTACCCCGCCGCCCTAAGAAGAGATTTAACTCCTCGCAAGTCAATTGCACTTGACTCCTTGCACTTGCAACTTGCACTTGACTCCTTGCTTGTTTCAAGGAGTCATTGCAAGGAGTCATTGCAAGGAGTCATTGCAAGGAGTCATGGCAAGGATTCATTGCAAGGAGTCATTGCAAGGAGTCATTGCAAGGAGTCATTGCAAGGAGTCATTGCAAGGAGTCATTGCAAGGAGTCATGAGAGCCATTGCAAGTTGCAAGGAGCCAAGTGCATGGAGTCAAGTGCAAGTCGCAAGTGCACGGAGTTAAGTGCAAGTTGCAAGTGCAAGGGGCCATGTGCAAGGAGCCAAGTGCAAGGAGCCAAGTGCATGGAGTCAAGTGCAAGTTGCAAGTGCATGGAGTCAAGTGCAAGTTGCAAGTGCAAGGAGTCAAGTGCAAGTTGCAAGTGCAAGGAGTCAAGTGCAAGTTGCAATCCTTGCCACGACTCCTTGCAATGACTCCTTGCAATGACTCCTTGCAATGACTCCTTGCAATGACTCCTTGCCATGACTCCTTGCAATGACTCCTTGGAATGACTCCTTGCAATGACTCCTTGCAATGACTCCTTGCAATGACTCCTTGCAATGACTCCTTGCAATGACTCCTTGCAATGACTCCTTGCAATGACTCCTTGCCATGACTCCTAGCCATGACTCCTTGCAATGACTCCTTGCCATGACTCCTTGCAATGACTCCTTGCAATGACTTTCATGATGATGATTCCTTGCAATGACACCTTGTAATGACTCTCATGAGAACAACTCAAGTGAACCCAGCGGAAGAACCCTTCGCCATGCTTTCGGGAAAAAGGTGGCCCTTCGGAATTGTGAAGCAGGGACTGGCAAAAGGACGCAACACAGGCTTCTGAGTTTCCTAGCTTAGGATATTTCACCAGTGACAGCCCAGATCAATACCCCAGGCTTATTCTCCTGGGCGTTTGGGTGGTACTCTTCTACGTGCTGCCCGGCCAAGATTTGCGCCGTTCGCTCGAGTCGGGGCTTGTCCTTCAAAAACACCTTGGAAATTGCATGGCCCCGCCTGAGACTTCAGGCCTCTGTCATTTTGTTTGTCCCGCGATCACCAGAACGCCCGGAATGTATTCACTTGGCTCAAAGGCTTCTGTTTTTGTCATGCCAGAAGACTCCCAAAAATGTCCAAAGTGGTTCTGCAGGCTGTTGCTGGCACCCGGCTTATTTTGTTGGTAAGGGAAGGGACACCACGAGGAGGCCTGAAGCCGTTTTCAGGGGTCCTTTGGCCACACAAAGGACATCCGAATTCCTAAAGTGTCCTGTTGGTGCCATATTTTTCGGGGCAATTCCAGGAACCCTAAATGTTGCTTGCCATATATTTGTTTTCTCCGTATGATGAGCTAATGGGCTAACACATAGCGATGGTTCCATGCGATGCTGAGCTCTAAACAGCAGATTCTGTCGGGCGTATGCGAAAGCTGAATGGGCACCTCTTTGGCTATGCCCAAAGTTTGGACAGGTTTCTTTGAGGTTTTGATTTTCTGTTTGGAGGCACAGGTATGCCGTGGTTTTCTCGGGCTGAGAAAAGACACAACAATGTTGGTACACCAAGAATGGTGGGTGGTTCCTTTGGCTTCCTTTAAGACCAACCCTAAAGCGTTTTTGTCACCCCAAAGAACCCTCCCCAAGAATGTTTGGGCCCTCCCCAGCCTGCCAACCCCCCTGCCAAAAACAACAGGCTGCTTCTTTTCTTGTGAAAGGGCTCCCCTTTGAACAGCTCCAGCAAACTTGCCCCCACACTTTCCTCGTTTCTACAAAAAAGGGGGCCACCAAACAAAATATTTCTTTGCATGTCCAAAGCCCCTCAAATCCATTACAATCCTCAAGCCTCAAGTCTCTTCATCCAGACCTCAAGTTATTAGGGGGGGTCCTCCAAAAACTTTGCTTCTCCCAAACCTTGTCGACCTTGAAGGGAGGGGGGGGAGGGGGCGAGGGGGTTTTCTAGTCAGGGTACCCACTACCTTGAATGTAAGAAACCAGGAAGTTCTCCAGGAGCC